CGGAACGTAAATGGGTGTGGGCCAGGCGAAGCTCAGTCTCAAAAAATACCTCCTTTAGCACACCGTTTCCCAAAAAACGTATAGGTGGTAGGCGGATCTGCCGTCGCCCGGCTCACTACCCCGCCTGATCTACTGAAGTCTTATGTAGTCCGTCAATCCAAGTTTCAGGATCATGGTTGCTGGTTTTCCTCAAAACATAAGCATGAATATCCAAAATCACAAACGCTCACCTACTCTCGCTCGCTCTACGCACTTAGACTGTAAGCACGCACTCATCACCCTCACCAACATTCGCGGACTGAACAGTAATATTGATTCTGTACACTATTCTCTCCATTCTTATCCCCAGCTCGCCCTTTTTTGACCGAAACAAAAATCTCCCCTTCGTCAGACACCACCCACCTTCAATTCCCCAACTACACTCTCCATTCCTCCTTTCTACCCAAAGCTGGTGTCTGTGCCTTTATTCACCAATCAGNGCCTCTCCAGGGGCGGGTGTGGATAGAGGAAGGAAGCCAGGAGGTGCCCTCCTTTCTACTCAAAGCTGGTGTCTGTGCCTTTATTCACCAATCAGTCGCACCTTCATGATCCCAAATCTTGACTTGTCCAATCGTGAATTTCAGCTGATGTGGCTGAAACTCCGACTTCCTTCCTTTAATCATTACTTTTGTGTTCTTTATCGTTCCCCCAATAGCGGCGACTCTTCCATCTTTGATTTTCGAACATTGAACATTTGTTTGCAACCGACCCCAACTGCCATGGTGCCATCTTGAGAGATTTTAACGTTCACAATCAGGACTGGTTGACACATTCATCTGCTACTTCTCCTTTGGGGCGCGAAGTCGAACACTTCGCTTTGGTCAACAACCTGAGCCAACTAGTTGACCTCCCCACACGTGTCCTTGATCGTGCTCACACCCTCGATCTAATTCGGTCCTTTCTTTCTTCTCAGTTATTGATACCCTCCCTCCTCTTGGCTCATCAGATCACTGTATTGTTTCCTGCTCTATTAGGCTTTCAAACTCCGAACCACCACCCATCTCGAGACACATTCTGGTGCTACAACTCAGCCAACTGGGACGGTTTCCGCGATTTCCTAGCTGCTTATCCCTGGAACGATTGCTGTTTCTCTCCGGATGTTTCCAAATCCGTTACCAACTTCACTCACGTCGTTGTTCAAGGTATCCATCTTTTTATTCCGCACTTTTCCAAAGCCGGCAAACCCAAATCCCCTGAGTGATTTAACCATGCATGTGACCGTGCTGTACGCCTTAAACGTTCAGCCTTCCGCCGCTTGCCCACCCTTCTCTCTCACCATCGCTTCGTGCAAGCTAGGAACAGGCGCTCGACGACCATTCAGAGAACCAAAGAACGCTTCGTTCGCCGTTAAGCCGAAAACTTGGTCTCGTCCGCCACCGGCAGCCGAGAATTTTGGTCCCTTGCCAAAGCAGTTTCCCGTAATTTCTGCCCTTCCAACTTCCCCCTATCTGCAATACCTCAGATGATCTTGAATGTCAACCACACGAGAAAGCTGAGGTTTTTGCTTACCAGTTTTCCACCTTACCTCATTTTTCTACATCCTCACCTTCTTCCTTCATCACTGGCAACCATTTTGTACCTCATATGAGCACTGGGAAATGCTGTCAAACATTGCGCTCTCGAAACGCAAACAAACCACCCGTCCGGACGGTATTCCGCCCATCGTCCTCAAAATGTGTGCCCCCGAGCTGGCTCCCGTTTTACGTCGTCTTTTCTGTCTTTCCCTCCAACTTTCTTTTATTCCAACCCCCTGGAAGCACGCCGTGAGTTTTCCCATTCCCAAACGCGGCGATCTTTCCAACCCCAACAATACGGACCCGTTTCCCTCTGTTCTTTTGAAAGTATTTGAAACTATCATTTCTGACCAGCTACGCACGTTCCTTGAACGCGAAGGACTGCTGAGTAACCGCCAGTATGGCTTTCGATCGCGTCGTTCCACCGGTGACTTTTTGGCTCTTGTCTCACAATCCTGGTCAGCTCCACTCGATACCCACGGAGAAAATCTTGGTCTCGCTTGACATCTCAAAGGCCTTCGACCTAGTTTGGCACGATGTTCTACCCGATATACCCAAACCAACGTCGATTGTGACCGTAATGCCGTAATGTCACTGGACTCCAATCTTGAACATATCTTCTGGGGCAATGCAAATCACGTTTCATTCAACGGTTCTAAAACTTCTTCCATTTTTGCACGTAGTTCATTCTCCCCACATTTGTCGTCTGACTCCACTCAACTGAGTTCCACGCTCTGTCTTCCTTCTTGGACTGCCTATAACTTATTTATGATGGTCTCCTTTTATAGCTCGGCTTGCTTCTCGTGCTGCGCGTAAGGTTGTGTTTCTATTTCGCGCCAGACGTTTTTCACCCCAGCTCATCTTCCATTGTTCAAAGCTCACACCGCCCTGCTCTTGAATACCGTAGTCACGTGTTGGGTGGAGCTTCGTCCTCTTCCCTTTCACTTATTGATCGTTTTCAAGGAAAGGCCATCCGAGTAATCGATAATCCTTCCCTAACATCCAGTCTGCAGTCGCTAGTCTATCTTCGGGCAATTGCCTCATTATCCCTGCCTTACCGTTACTACTTTGTTTTCTGTTCTTCGGAACTTGTCTCGGCAGTTCCTCATCCTGCAACTTTTACCTGCTCATCTCGTACACGGATATTTAATCATCCTTATCAGGTTTCTGTTCCCAGTTGTCGTACCTCTCTACTCCAATCTTTTTCCCCCGAACTGCCAACCTGTGGAACACCCTCCCCTTTGTTGGTTTTCCCCCAACTTATAATCTTACACTTTTTAAAAGCACAGTCAATAAACTGGATCTTACGTGCATTTTTCCCCTACTCGCCCCTTTACAGTACGATATTTGCCCATGGGGACTTTCTCGTTTACTGTAATTCACCTTGTGAAATAAAAAATAAGGGAGGTGGAGTGAAGAAATTGATGAACAGAATCAATATCATGGTCCAAGCCGCAAAATTTAATGAGTGCGATTTGCGAATGAGTGTGCCTGAGAAGTGATCCTGTTATTTGTAGTATTCATAGTAAGACGATAGGCAACCGGCAATCTAGCCCCGGGACTTGGAGTGGCGAACCACATAAGGTCCCGATGGCTAGGCGGTGGTTCTGAACCTGACGACGGCAGACCCGTCTACCGTACAGCTTGACCTGCTGTCTCTCCGTGAGCAGAAATGCATGTAACGAGTGAGTTATTCTTAGATGACTCTCGGGATAGGTCAGCTGAAAACCTGGCTAGACACGGTACGTAAGGACAGAAAAGTTCGTTCTCTGCTCCATCTACGGTAATTGCCAACGGAAGTCAAGCTGGATCTCAACCTGCATTGATCTTGCCGCGGACCGTTGAACATAGGCAACGGTTATTCCAGAAATTCATGAAGCCGGCTTATAAAAACCCGTAATTCCTGAGCCTGGTCCGTGGAAATTATATCAAATGCAGCATTGTCCGTAAACTGATGATAGATATGGAGTGTACTGTTGTGAACAGCGTTTATTACCCTCCGTAGTATTATGTATCCATTTCTTACAGCAGACGAGAACTAATAACATAGAAGTAGGAGATAAACTCAGAAATACGTACCTCCCATAGCCATCGATATAGAAGTGTGATACTGGAAACTCGTATTTCCAGAATGAGAGTGATGTTGCACGAGTTTGATTAACACCTGTATGCCCTTTCGATTGTCTGCCGCACGTGAGCGGTGCACGCGTGAGAACCAGGCTGGTTTTAGACCTGATTGAGGTTTTATCGATCACATCTTCACTATTCACCAAACTCTAGAACACCGAAATTCTTTTTGCACACCCACGATCCAAAAGCGGCCTTCGACTCAGTCGACCACTCGAAATTCTGGCGCTACTTACCTCTGAACGGTAGGCACGAGAAGTACATTTCAATTTTAATTTTAATTTATGCCAGTAGCCGAAGTCGAGCTGGAGCTCATACCTTTTTCGTCCTAGTTCAATCCATAAAAGTGATTATCTATAGGGTTGTTCTCCTTCTTTCCATTTCTAACTAACCCTGTCATAGTTGTAGTTCTTGCAACAGCCCTATCGTACGAGGATATCGATATCGATTTACTTCCAGGTGGCAGACTGTTTGACCTAGAGTATGCGGACGACACTGTGCCGCTAAGTGAAGATCCGGATTAGTTGCAAGCTTTTCGGGATAGTTTGATTGCGTTCGATATGCGTTTTTCACCTTCAAAGTGTTAAATGCTACTACAAGATTGGGTTGGTCTAGACCCCAACCTCACCCTGACTGGGGAGGTAGTAAAATAAATGGATAAATTCTGCTATCTGGACAGGTTTTTTGGCCTTGGTGAAGACCGGCGACATATCGAAGCTTCAATCCAGCGATCTGATTCTGTGACCAGCCAGTTAACTGAACGCACTGTTGTAGTGATAGTGAATTCACGGTCAATTCGTCGTCCACCAATGGGACACTGCACATGCATTAAACGTCTTGTGTTACGCGATATTAGCTGGTGGAAGACTGCGTGCTCGGAGTGCATTACACAGGCGCAGACTATGTCTGTGGCACAGCACGGGTCGGTGGTGGCCCGATGGGAATGTCACATAATTATCACCCCGGCATACGAGTGTTCGAATCACACCACCACCACTTTTTCCACTGTGTGTTGTATGGCAGCCCTTTGATTGACCGCATCCTCCTCCCTGAAAATTGCACCAAAATTTATTCAACTAAATGAAGTAAAAGTGAAGTGGGAGTATACACCCGTCATAAATTATATTATGGAATACCCGATATTGACATATCAGATGGTCTCTCTTCTCCCTCATGCAATCTTGGTGTGATTAACCGCAATAAGATTAGGGCGCTCCCACTATGGCTGCTTTACATTCTTCTTGCTTATTCATTTAATAATTTTCCTGCTTTTACGCTCCCGTCGCTCTCTTCTCCCGTTAACGCATCGATTGCAAACAGGCGCGGCGTGTGAACCGAACCTTGTTCCAACGCGCCTATGAGGCAGTTGTACGCAGTCAGGATCTTGTTTACAATCTGTCCTTGCCACAAGCACAGCTGGATAATCAGGAATTGGAGTTCGGGCCAGTAAGATTCTACGAGGTTTGCCAGAAGACTCTGACTCTGACCAATACCGGATTGGGTGATTTGCAGTACAATTTTCGACGCGAAGGTATCGCAGATTTCCCAGCCTGGTTGACAATCAGTCCAGAATCGATGGCCGTAGAAAAAGGTATGCAATGTCTCAATCTCGGATTCATTTGCCTGAATGAGTGAATATTCTCTCGATCGTTCGAATTATGCGTACTGATGTTTTCGTTTTCTCGATTGATAACTTTTTCTTATCTACCGTGAGCACATTTGTTGTATTTCTTGTTCTCGACTAATATTTCGCTCACTTGCCTCGTTTGATTGAGTTCATTCAATCGTTTCTGCCTCTCTTTTAATTATTCCAGTATCTTATGGTGAATTTTGTCATGCAAAGAGCAAATTTAACATAAAATGAAAAACCAGGAAGCGCTGGACAGCTGTTGCGACCTGGTTGGGTCTCATTTGCAGTGCGAGCCCTTCGACCCATCTTTGAAGGCGGAACGCAAGCGTGCCACCCACTTGGCCCCCAAGGCAGCTGACCAGATCGTTTTTCATTTCTCCATGCACGATAAAACACAACCTTTTTGCGAGCCTATTGCACGCACCTCACCTTGCACATCTCAGTAGTAGCCTCTAACGTTAGGACTCGGTTCAAAACATTTCAACCCGATTACACGTAACATTGGAGAAACGGAGGATTCGGTTTGTTTATATGTTGACATTGAAGTCCCGGGTTCGATCCCCAGTTGATCGATGAATTCGCACAGCTGCCGTGTTCCATGTTTCCGTTGGTCGACACCAGTCACTCATTTTGTCGCCATGACAGTGCGTGGATGTAGTGACAGCCACACCTCATGGAACCTGCGTGAAAGGCGAGCTAAATCAATCGAGACCGGGCTTCGTGGGATTCGGTTATGTGAATCAGGTCCAACAGGCGCAACCCTAATCTTGTTCCAACGACTAAAAGGTCTTTTTCAACTCAAGGGTTTCACTGAAATAGATTCCACATCGGCAGTTCCTGGTGCCTGTGAACAATTGAATGGTTTATGGCAAATTTACTTTATTCTATAGCCTGCTTGGTCACATTTTGTGTGTGCAAAGGTGCACCTTTGAACAATAAGCCCTCATTTATAACACATTTCCATGACGCTTCATGGTCTGGTCATCAAATCAATCGTATCATCCTCTCGCACGAGATGAACAAGTAACAGAAGGAACATATGTGATTGCAGAAGCTCAGGGATGTGATCCGCATGTTTGCTGATACCATATCTTATTCCCCAAAGAACCTTTTACACTTGGTGTTGGACAATCTGATTGCATCATTCTGCCCGTCTTTGTTTGTCGTTCGATTACAGTGCTACTGTTTCCAAAATAGAGCAGGGTTAGTGCGTGGCACCAACTGTGTGGCATCGTTGTAAGCATCAAATGAATATTTGAGTAATCGTGCTGTTGTGTCCATGTGTGTATGTATTCCGATCTCAGGGGCATCGGTCCAGATCAACGTGGAAATCTTTGTAAAACCGGAACTGGTGTCTTCCATGAACAGTGGCGAGAATCAGCTGTCCACAATTGTCATTTTACGTCTAAACGGTGGCAAAGATTATTTTGTCTCCATCGCTGGTCAGTTCATCCCGACTTGTTTCGGTCTTCCACTGCGGCTGCTACTTTCGTTGGAGACAGCCCCTGTCGCCTGGCTACCAGTCGAAGAATTGCAGACTAAGGTGAGTCAGTACTGTTGCATCCTATTCTGATTCACGTTTTCGGGTATGCGCGTGTTGCTTGCTAATCGAGCGCATGACGCTTACCGTCCTGGGTTAACCGAAAGGTGCTTTTCTACGGGCTAAATTGAAAAAAGAAACACAATATTCTGTTACTGCACCATTTGCGTCAAAGTGTATTTCGCCATATCTCAAATGGTGTCTTGTAGCGGAGGAATGCAATTCATAAACAGCATTCTTTGGTAGCAACATTTAAGCTAAATATTACCCATGGTGGTGTAAATGGATGAAATGTTCTTTCTGTTGGCCCCAGGGGTGGTCTTATTGCTTAGTTCAAATTCTTCGATAGACCTTAACAATTTTTCGCCCCTCTATGAACAGGGGATATATGGGGTACCCGGTGGGAGTGACACG